GGGCTCAGCGATCCTACTGCCTCAGCCTCCCGAGTAGCTGGGACTACAGGCATGCGCCACCATGCCCGGCTAATTTTTTGTATATATATTTTTAGTTGGTCAATTAATTTATTTCTATTTTTGGTAGAGACGGGGTCTCGCTCAGGCTGGTTTCGAACTCCTGACCTTGAGCAATCCGCCCGCCTCGGCCTCCCAAAGTGCTAGGATTACAGGCGTGAGCCACCGTGCCCGGCCTGCATTATTTTTAAATTAAGAAATTTTCAAAATTCAAATGATTTCCGTAATTTATACCTACAGTATAGACTAAAGTGTGGTCTAACTTGTGTATTCTATACCTGCATGAATAATCGGAAGTCTTGTAACATTCGTACACCTGTATTATATACTTATATACTGTTTTGTAGTATATGCTTTTTGTATTGTACATTTGAATTTTATGATTGATTTGAAGGTAATGATTATATCCTGCAAATCTGTATTATTGTACAAGTATTAATATTTATTATTGCCATTTGGATAGCTCCTGATATTAACCACCTTCCTTTAAAAATTTTGTGAGTATTCAGTAATATATTTTTTATTTAATCTTGCTCTGGATATGGATCTTTCAAAATTTTCCCTTTTAAATTTCCAAACTTAAGAGTCTTATGATTATTAACTTTCATAATAATTGTGGGCATTCATAAGGAGTCATATCTTAGCCCTCTGCTTTTCTCCACCTATACCTAATTACCTTTGAAATCTTATTTATTATTTCTTGTGTGTACAGCTTTCTCATCTTAAAGGTGGATGACTCCGAAATGTATGTCTACATCTCAGTCTCTGAGTTTTTATCTTTTCAGCAGACATTTATTTGTTGAGTGTTTGCTATGTACCAGTTACTGTACTAGGCCCTGGCAAGCAAAACAGATAAGATCCCTACCCACATGGTGCTTATGTAACCTCTTTGAGTATCCTTCTGTCTCTTGTCTCTCAATCACTTTTATAGTAATTCCCACCTTAGTATATTCTCTCATCAGCTGTCTAGAACTGAACTTATCTTTTCCTTCAAACCTATTCTTTTTGTAGAATTTCCTCACTTTTAAAACATGTTATCATTTTTTGCTACCTAGGACTAGGACAAAAGCCAGGAAATTTTCTACATTCACCTGTGAGTCAGTTATGTACCATATTCTCTCAATTCTTCCTTCATGGTGAATCCTTCTTTTCCATTTCCTCAACAGATTATGTATAGATTACTGTGGTAGTCTGCTGCTTGGCCTTTTCTATGCTGTTGCTACGTTAATTCTGCTAAAAGACATATATTTCCATGTTGCTCAGAAATTGTTGGTTATCCATTTGGTTGGCCTGAAGAAAGAAAAGTTAGGACTGTTCCCTCACCCCTCTTCTCAGATCTTTGTATCAGCAGCGTTTGCCTATCTTTTGAACATTCTAAACTCATACTTTTTCTTAAGCATTTTCCCCATGTAATATCCTCTCTGTTTTCTTCTTTTCAGCTTTCTGAATTAGCTCAACTCAAGTCTTGATTATTTTACAAACCTTCCCACACCAAAAGAGACTGCTTTTATAAATGCTGTTACATATATACTACCAGCTTGGCATCTGTATACATTATATATCAGCAGATTCTGTGCTATATTTTCATTATATAATTGTTGTTATTTCTATTTTTAAATTTTTTTTTTTCTGTGTTCTCTCTCCCAGTTAATCTTTGAACTGCTTTAAAGTCAGGTCTGAGTACAGAGTAGGAACACTTGATAAAGATCAAAAAGGCAGTGGTCACTAGAAAGCTGTCTCTTTAAAAATAGTCAAAAACTTGTTGCCTTTTTTTAGTTAGAGCTGTATATTAGTTTTATATTAAATGTGTGTCATGTAGGTCCTTTGTCTTTCACAATAATGTGGTAAACTATTAAGTTTTCTTTATATAGTTGGAGAGTATCAAATACTGTTTTATATAGTTTAGTTTCCTGCTTTGTTTGAATTTACTAAAACTTTGGTTTTGTTATTTTGTCTGTTCTCTACTTTTTATATAATTCATTATTAGTTCCTCTTGAGATTAAAAAAACTTAATCAAATTGAGGCAGTAATTTAATGCACATAGTAAATCTGTGGTCTCAAGACCACTGCTGCAGTATTATCCTGGATAGAGCTAGAGCCCATTCTACTAAATGAAGTATCACAAGAATGGAAAAATAAGCATCATATGTACTCACCATCAAATTGGTATTAACTGACTTAACTGACCACTTAAGTGCACATATAGTAGTAACATTCACCAGATGTCGGGCAGGTGGAAGGGGGGAAGAGCGGATGGATTTATTCACACCTAATGGGTATGGTGCATACTGTCTGGGGAATGGAAATGCTTGAAGCTCTGACTTGAGTGGGCCAAAGGCAATATATGTAATCTAAACATTTGTACCCCTGTGATATACCAAAATAAAAAAAAATTAGAAAGAAAAAAAGACCACTGCTACAATTTATAAATTCTTGGACAGGTCCCTTAAGGACATTGGATCTCAGTTTCTTAAGTGGTAAATAAAAGTTTCAAGTAAGTGATCTCTTAAAACTTTTGACTTTTTGCTAAGTCAAATTTCTTAAATATTCATGTTGCCACTAAATATTTGCGCCTGTCCTCTTTAGCTTGAAGCCAGACTCTTGTATTAATAAAGTTTTGTCGTCATGTTTTCCTTTTAGATTCCTGGTTAGGATTAGTCATTACTACTTTCTTTGGAATTTTTTTCAGTTCTGGATCTAGTATTGTTTTCACAACAAGCATCCATTAATCATTGAAGAGGAGAAATTAACCTAATCATGATTTATTTTATTTTTTTCTTTTTAAGGTATTTTCAAAAGAAATAATTCCAGATTAATGGATGAAATTTTAAAACAACAGCAGGAACTTCTGGGCCTAGATTGTTCGAAATACTCACCTGAGTTTGCAAATAGTAATGACAAAGATGATCAAGGTAAGCATGAGTGTAAAATTGAATATGTAACTTATGAAGATGTATATTTTGTGTTTCAGGGTTATTTTTTTTACTTATTTATTTCACTTTGCTCTGTTAATCTTTATTATCAATCTGTTAGTCCTTACTGTCAACATCTTTAATCATCAGATTTAGACTCTTCCCTGTTCATCTTGTTAAAAGGTAATTTTCAGAAAAAGATAAAATAATGATTCTCATACCAATATTAAAAAGTGAACATGTGTTAAAGATTTTATTTAACTGGGCAGATTTTATAACTGGTTCCACTGAGGATCCAAAGAATGGATGTGTTTATAGATCATGAATATTGAAACGAATATGAAAATAGAGACAAATTTGGTTTTTCTATGGAATGAGAGGGAAGATAATTGAACCCTCTACAAGACAAGAAAGAATTTGTATGTCTATAGATAAGAATTTTTCATTAGAATCCAATCAGTTGTAAAATAGCCCCCATAGATTCAGAATTTGATAATGTGTGTGCTGTAGACAAGACATATTCCACTGTAACACAGTTTTTCTACAATCTTTATTTTTTCTTTTATCCTGTGTTACTGCCAACTGTACCATAATTATAGATAGAATTTTTGATGTGTGAAAATTAACTAGCCTGTAGTTAAAATTCCTATTTTTTAGAAAATTTAGTCAAAATCTAATATCATTCTGAGCACTTTGAGAAGAAGTCAGTATATAAATGTGATTTAGGGTGCATGGATCCTTTCAGAAGAAAATAGCTAAGTCTGTTTTGATATTGTAATTGAAGGGCTTAACTGATCCTAATTACTGTAGGAATTATACTGTTATTTTGGTCCAAACTTAGTATTTATTAACACTGATTTTGAAATATATCTGAAAGAGAGTGTTTTAAAAAATATCTTGTTTGTTTTTCCCTCTAGTTTTAAGTTGCCATTCAGCAGTCAAGGTGCTGTCCCCAGAAGATGGAAAAGCAGATATTGTGAGAGCTGCTCAGGACTTTTGCCAGTTAGTCGCCCAGCAGCAAAAGAGACACACAGATTTGGATGTAGCTATGTTAGACAGTTTACTTAGTAAGTCATATATGTTTTATACAATATGTTTTTAGCTTTGTCCCACAAGGATACAGTATGAAAGAAAATATTTACATTCCTTTCACACTATAAAGCCGGACCTGATTTTTTTTTGTTCTGCCTGTTATATTTCTGAAACATAAAGACCCACATGTGAAAATGGTTTTGAGATAATGAACAACTCATTTGCATGAGGTCTTCAGGAGAGGACTTTTGAGGATTTTTTGTATTGAGGAATATTCTTAAAACTAGGGCTTCTGCTTGTCAGCCTTCCTTGTCCTGTCCCCACTGTTTTTAGTTTGAACTTTCAAGTTTGAACTTAACAGCTTTTTATGAGGTGCTCCCAGGAATATAATCTTACTATCATCCATGACTCCTTTTTATTTTATTTTATTTTTTAATTTATGTTTAATCAGATAATTTTAGACCCTCCAAAATGATGCCTTTTAAAAAAGTTGTATAATATTACAAAAATAGAAAAAAAAAACTTAATATGATTTCATTAGAGGGAGGACAGGGTAGGAAGATGAGAGAAGGTTCCTTTATTTTCATCACTGCTTTCACCAGTAAATCTCAAAAGCGCAAACCTACATCGAATAACTTAAACAGAAGTGGCATTTTCTTCATATGGAATGCAAAATGCATACATTCACATACTTACATATACATAAATATATACATATATGTTTCCTTTACAAAGTTTCAAAGGTTGCATTACCAGCATGCAAACCTCTTCTTCCATGGAAATTCCTAATACTGATGAGGAGTGCATGACTTCTTTTTTAGTATCCTTTCTATTGTGCTGTATACCAGATATGCCACCATATTTATCATACTAACAAAAAATACCATTTTATTTTTTTCTTCAGCTGTTTATCAAAGCTTTTGGTTTGCTTATTCTGTCTAGAGCCTCTAGGAACTTTTTGCCTTAACTTCATGGTACTTCTGCTTATTAGCACTATCTTTGATCCTTTTAAAGAAAGATAGTCTCTCTGACAAATTCATGTCCATTAATAGCTTCTGTACCTGTACAGTTTCAGACATTTAAATGAAAAAAAATTTGTTTATTCATTCACATAAGAGTGTCCATTTACCTTAATTATTAATCATGCATTTTCTGTCTAACTCATTTGTAATACTTAACTCTTCATACTTTGTTTCTTCTACTTTGATTACATGTCAGAGCACAGAGCACAGTCCTTCTCTGTCCTCTTGGTCTTGCTGTCTCCATACTTTCATTGACCAATCACTTCTTACACTCTCTTGTATTCTCTACTCTGCCATTGCCTATATATTCAGACTCAATGAGTAATAGACCATTGAAGGGGCTCGATGAGTTTAGATTACTGGGATGTTGCCTGTTTCCTGGACTCTATGAGGCCTTAACCAGAGAGCAGTTTATAAGGACATCCTGTAAGTTGGTGTAGAGCCCAGAGGTGGGCTTCAGATAGTCCATGGAAAAGCGCTAAAGTGTTAAGCCCAGGTGTTGCCTTCAAGGATTGTAGACTCATAATAAATGAAAATGTACAAAGTCCTAAGTTAACTAACAGAAGCGAGCACTCTGAACAGTGTCACCCCTAAAAGTTCCCTTGTGACTGCACACAGTCCCCATTCCTTCCCCCACCAAAGCAGTAGCCACTGGTCTGCTTTCCAGGTATACTTTTGCCTTTTCTAGAAATTTTATATAAAACGAATTATACAAATATGTAGTCTTTATGTTTTGCTTTGTTTACTAAGCATATTTTTTAGGTTCATCTGTGTTGAATGCATTGGTAGTTCATTACTTTTTATTGGTGAATAGTATTCTGTTTTATGGACATACCACATTTTGTTTATTCATTCATCAGTTGATGTACATCAGGTTTGTTTCCAGTTTTTTAATAATGCTGCCATGACCATTTGAATACAAGTTTTTGTGTGGACATGGTTTTTTTTCTCTTGGGTAGATACATGACACTGGGGTTCCTATATTGTGTGGTGAGTGAGTGTTTAACTTTATAAGAAACTGCCCAACTTTTTTCCCAATGGGCCATACATTTCATATCTCTATCAGCAATGTAGAGGTTATAGTTTCTCCACGTTCTTGCTAAGTCAGGTTGGTTTTTTAAAAATTTTAGCTATTCTAGTGGGTATATAATAGTATTTTGTTGTGGTTTGTTTTTTTTTTTTTTTGGAACAGAGTCTCATTTTTGCCCAGGCTAGACGTGCAGTGCGTGGCGTCAGCCTCCTCACAGCACCTCAAAGCTCTGGCTCAAGGGTCCCGCTTCAGCCTCCAGTAGCTGGGACTCACAGGCATGTGCCACATGCCGGCTAGTTCTTTTGTTATTAGTTAGCCATTAATTCTTTCTTTATAGTAGGGCGGGTCTCGCTCTGCTCAGGCTGTTTCGAATTCCGGCACTGAGCAATGCGTCCCGCTCGGCTCCGCAGTGCTAAGGATTACAGCGTGAGCACCGCGCCGCCCTGTTGTGGTTTTTTTTTTTTTTTTTTTTTTTTTTTTTGAGACGAGTCTCACTTTGTTGCCAGGCTAGAGTGAGTGCGTGACATCAGCCTGGCTCACAGCACTCATCTCCTGGCTCAGCGTCCTACTGCTCAGCTTCCGAGTAGCTGGGACTACAGGCATGCCCACCCGCCTCCTGTTGTGGTTTAATTCGATTTTCCTAATGACTAATGATGTTGGAGCATTTTTCACGTGCTAATTTGCCATCTGTATCTTCTTTGAAATGTCTGTTCAAATATTTTGCATATTTTAATGAATTTGTGATATTATTGGTTTTAAGAGGTTTTATATTTTGATGCAACGTATCATCAGTGGATATAGTATGATTTGAAAATACTTCTAGTCATGGCTTTTTTGTTTCTTACTGGTTTATTTTAAGTGTTTAATTTTTTTCTTTTCTTTTCTTTGTTTTGTTTTGTTTTTTTTTTGAGACAGAGTCTCATTCTGTTGCTTGGGGCTAGAGTACCATGGGTCAGCCTAGTTCACAGCAATCTCAATACCTGGGCTCAAGCAATCCTTCTGCCTCAGCTCCTGAGTATCTGGGACTACAGGCATGCACACCATGCCCGGCTAATTTTTTATATATATATTTGTTGTCCAGTAATTTCTTTCTATTTTAGTAGAGACGCGGCTCGCTCTTGCTCAGGTAGTCTCAAACTCCGAGCTCAAATGATCCGTCCATCTTGCCTCCCAGAGTGCTAGGATTACAGCATGACTAAAGTGTTTAATTTTTTGAATCAATTTGTATATTTCTTTATGGTCTATGCATTGATTGATACCTAAGATCTTTGCCTAACCCAAAGTCACAATAATACATTTTGACTTAACTTTTGTGAATGGTGTGAGGTAAATGTTACTGGTTATTTGTCACTGAAGGATGTTGGATTACTGTGGTTCCTTTGTTGGAATCTGTGAGTTTATATCTGGCTTCTATTCTATTCTGTTCATCTTTTTTTTTTTTTTGAGACAGAGTCTCACTTTGTTCCCAGGCTAGAGATGCCGTGGCGTCAGCTAGCTCACAGCAACCTCAAACTCCTGGCTCAAGTGTTCTGTTGCCTCAGCCTCCCGAGTAGCTGGACTACAGGCATGCACCAATGCCCGTAATTTTTCTATATATTTGTTGCAATTATTTCTTTCTGTTTATAGTAGAGACGGGGTCTCGCTCTTGCTCAGGCTGGTTTCGAACTCCTGACCTTGAGCAATCTGCCCGCCTCGGCCTCCCAGAGAGCTAGGATTACAGGTGTGTAATCCCGGCCTATTCTGTTCATCTTTATATCTGTCCTTAAATCCAAATTGTCTTGATTATTGTTGTCTTTTATGGTGAGTTTTAAAATCAGTAGTATAAGTCCTACAAGTTTGACTTTCTTTTTCAAAGTGTGTTTTGTCTATTCAGGGCCCTTTGTATTTTCGTATATATTTTGGGATCAGCTTTTTCAATTTCCAAAAAAAAAAAACCCTGCTGGGATTTTGATATGGATTGAGCCTGTATCTCATTTGGGGGAGAATTGCCATCTTAATACTATTGAGTCTGCCAATCCATGAATATCTTATATCTGTCCATTTATTTGAGTCTTAATTTTTCTTAAAACAATGTTTTGTAATTTCAGGGTATAGAGTTTCTACTTCTTTTGTTAAATTTATTCCTAAGTATTTCATTTTTCTTGATGCTATTTTTAATGGATTTTCTTAATTTTATTTTCAGATTGTTTATTGATAGTATTTGGGAATACACTTGTATTTTAATATTGATTTTTTTGTATCCTGCAACCTTGCTAAAATTCACCAAATAGTACTAGTAGTTCTTTTTGTAGAGACTTAGAATTTTCTAAATACAAGGTCATGTTGTCTATAAATAAAGTTGACCACTGCTATCTCTGCTCAGTTTTTTTTTTGTTATTTTTTTTTTAATCTGGTTTCCTGAATCTGCATAGCTTAGTAGTCAGCAAATGATTTGCACACTGGTTGTACTTAGACACCTTAAGACTTCAGTGATTTCTGTGTGGAATTTGAAAGTGCATTCAGTTACCACCAGTTCTCAAGTCTCCTTGGCTTTTGCTTTTCACTGGGCTTACTTCCTGTCCCCCACATTCCTTCCCCCTTAGTGTGTATGTAGTTTCCCAGTCAGCCATGGATGTGTGAGAGTTTATCTGAACTCTTACTTATAGGATCTCCCTGGTAAATTTCTTGCAGTTTTACAAACTGGGCCTATAACCTCAGGCTAGGAAAATGATAGGTTTTCCTCATTCATTCCTTTTTGATTTTCCCACTTTTAACTGGCAAACCATAGATTTTTGTTGTTCTCTCTCTCCCTTCTGACTACAACCTCCAGTTCCAAATTGAGTCCATATCTTTCAGCAGCAAGTGGCAAATCTGCTAGTTCTTGCTGTTAGCCCATGCTGCTGATTGGTAGTTCTCTCCCATTGATTGGTGGTCATGATGTGGGAGTTGGAACAGTCCCAGATAGGAAGGCCATGGACTCTTACCATTCTTACCTGAAGCTGTAGCTAATTGTTTTGTTTTTTTAAAGAACAATTGTTTGCCTTTGAGCAATATCTAGTACTCCTGAATAATTGGTTTTGTCCAGTTTAATACTTTTTTTTTTTTTTTTTGAGACAGAGTCTCACTGTGTTGCCCAGGCTAGAGTGCCATTGCATCAGCTTAACTCACAGCAACCTCAAACTCCTGGGCTCAAGCCATCCTTCTGCCTCAGCCTCCCGAGTAGTTGGGACTACAGGCATGCGCCACCATGCCTGGCTAATTTTTTTTGTATATTTTTGGTTGGTCAATTGATTTCTTTCTATTTTTAGTAGAGACGGGGGGGTCTTACTCTTGCTCGGGCTGGTTTCGAACTCCTGACTTTGAGTGATCCATCCGCCTTTGCCTCCCAGAGTGCTAGGATTACAGGCGTGAGCCACCGCACTTGGCCTAATACATATTTTTTGAAGAGAGAATTTGTCACCCTCTTCATATCACTATTAGTCAGAAGTTCTTTCTGGTCATTTTTTACTAAAGAGGATTAATTGCTTTTTAGGTGACAGAGGAATATGTGGTGTTCTTCCTTAGTCCATTCACTCTACCAACATGGACTTTTAAAGGCATTTTGTTATGGAAATAATACTTCAATATTACTGCTGAACAGGCCTGCCTAATCTAGTCTCCTTACTTGACAAATGAAGGAACTAGCCCTAGAGAGATTGTATGACAAGCGAGTTAGTGACAGAACTGAGGATATTAGGAACTCTTAGAACCTGGGTCTCTTGGATTATAGTATCTTTTCTGTTATACCAGTGACTCTTCAAACTTTGTTTTTAAGCAGCTGAAACATTCCTCTCCCTTTTTTCCCCAAGCCAGGTCTCATATGGGAACCAGTTCATAAAAGAGATAAAAATGATCATACCCTTGTTGAGGCAGGTGTTTGGTCTCCTTTCCCCTCTGAGGGTGCTCAGCCTCTGGGAAGCACTGAAGACATTTGTACTGCTAGGAATTGGTCTTTCTCAGTCCTTATCTATAAAATGAAGGGCATAAGGGAAGGAAGGAGAGTAGATATTTAAGTTCCTTTTCATCTCTGAAGCTATTTGATTCTGTGGCCAGAATCAAGCTACTGTGCCCTTAGAGCAGGGCCTTTCCCAGGATTCCAAGGGAACACCTAAGTTGAGTCTTGGAAGATGGATGGGATTTGGAGGGTATCATTGGGTTTAGAGTGGGAGTTGGGTTACCCCATCATATCAGATAATCAATCCAGTTAAATGGACTTTTGAGAAAACTTCCACACCTGGAGTGAACATAGATACTAAAGTATCTGTTGCGGAGGAGAGTGGGGGTGCATAGAGTCATACAGATAAAGCTTTTGAGGAAAACAGTTAAAGCATAAGAAACCAATTAGATTTGCCCCGGATCTTTGTGGGTGTTTTTTTTTTTTTGTAAGCAATGCATGTTAAATTCGTGTATATTTCTTTATTTCTAAGGTTCAAATGGTTTCCCTGATCCTGATTTAGTATTGAAGTTTGGTCCTGTGGACAGCACATTAGGCTTTCTTCCCTGGCACATCAGATTGACTGAGATTATGTAAGTAATTAAAAGTTCATTGACTTTGTTTCAATTTAGCAAATGTTTCCTGAGCCTAGCATTGTATTAGATCTAGTGGGAATTCTCAAAGAATTATTAGACTGGATACTTTACCTCAGATATTTTACAGTATCAGTGGTAAAATAAAGACATAAATTAGACACAAGAGACTGTATGGTTGTGCATATGTTTGGTTTATTATCCTAGGAGATCAGAAGTGAGAAAATATCTCTGTGTAGCAGAGTTGTAGATTCAACAGAAAGGTATGACTTGATCTAGGGTATATAAAATGGGTAGAATTTTTGTATTTAGAGAATAGGTGGGAAATATAGGGGGTGGGAAGGGAAGAAAAGAAAATCTAGGTGTGTTTTAAAGAAATAGAGAATTAGCCACAACACAGAGTCAGTGTTAGGCAGTAGAATGAGATGAAATCAAATAGTTTAGGGATGTTGAAGCTTGGAAGTTTTGAAATGCCAGCATAAGGAATGTGTATAATGGGAGACAGGCAGCAGGAAACTGTTGAGCCTGTAGATAATGTGGGAATGGTGATTTTGGAAGATTTGTTTGGTAGTTATGTATTAGATTGGATTCGGGAAAGGATAAAGTAAAAGTCAAGTGGAGAGTCTGCAGCTATATAAGTTAGATGAAATACAGTGAAGAAAATTAAATTGTTGGCTGGGCGCGGTGGCTCATGCCTGTAATCCTAGCACTCTAGGAAGCCCAGGCGGGCAGATTGTTTGAGCTTGGGAGTTCGAGACTAACCTGAGCAAGAGTAAGACCCCGTCTCTACTAAAAAAATAGAAAGAAATTAACTGGACAACTAAAAAAATATATAGAAAAAATTAGCCGGGCATGATGGCGCATGCCTGAAGTCCCAGCTACTTTGGAGGCTGAGGTAGAAGGATCGCCTGAGCCCAGGAGTTTGAGGGTTGCTGTAAGCTAGGCTGACGCCATGGCATTCTAGCCTGGGCAATAGAGTGAGACTCTGTCTCAAAAAAAAAAGGAAAAAGAAAATGAAATTGTTTATTTAGAATAGAACTTGGCAGACTTTTTCTGCAAAGGGCCAGACAATAAATATTTTAGGCATCACAGGCTATACAGTCTCTTGCAACTACTCACCTCTGCTAGTGTAGGTAAACAACCGTAGACAATATGTAAGCAATAGGTGACTGTTCTGATGACACCTTGTTTACAAAAATAGTTATCGGGTGCATGAGCTATATTTGCTGACCCTGATTTAGAATAAAGGAGAGACTTAGTAGCCTTAAACTATATTTAAATTCTGGATCATAGAAGGAAAATATTACAAGTTCTATCTGTCATGAGAAGTAGTTACCAGGTGTGATTGCAGGCCTAGACTTTACTAATTGTGGTAAAGTTGGAGAAGAACTGAAATGACTCCTAAGTTTTTAAATCTAAGTGACTGGGCAATTAATTGTGTTATTGAGAGGAAACCAGAAAGTGAAGGGAGTATTGATTTTTGAAAGGAAGATGTAGGTGGTTTTGAGGCCATAGACTATTTAGATGCAAACACTTAGTAGGACAGATGTACAGTTGGTGCTTGGGTGAGAACTGAAGGCTAAAGATGTATATTTGGGGATTAGCAGTACCCAGGAATTAGTTAAACCTTTAAGAATTGAGGATCTCTCTAAAGTCCATGAAGGGGTCCTTTAAGAAATGCTTCTAAAGGCACTCCTTGAATCCATTTTCTTCCCCATTTTCTTCATCTGCAAAATGAGAAACATTAACAACTATTTTATATGATTATTTATATGAAGCTATGAAAGGATCTACCATATACTTAGTAATCACCAGTCACTCAAAGTATGGCTATGATAATAATTATTCTGTTGATATGTGCTTCATAAGGAATCCATTCTAGGATTTTAACAAGTAACAACAGTACCTACCCTTGCCCTTTGTTTGAGCCAATGCTTCTATTTTTAAATAGCTGCAAATTTTTGATATTCTGAGAGTTGTCATCAATAACCGGGAAAACAACGGGATCCACTCTGATTAATCAGTCCTAGTTTTTGCTAAGGAGACGCTGCTAATGGAAAGAAAAAAAAACAAAGGAATAGGAGGAAATCTACTCTGGCAAATAACCTAGAAAAGAATCAAGAGATCTAGGATATTCACCTTAAAGTCTTTATCATCCTTTATGCTCTGGCAAATAATAATAATACTAGCTTTTGCTGTGTATCAGGCACTGTCCTCAGCAATTTACAAGTATTCACTCATTTAATCCTTATAATATTAATAATTTACCATTTTACACGTTGAAAAATTGAAGCACAGAGTAAAATAACTAACCAAAGCCACGAAAGCAATGACAGAGCTGTATTTTGAACTTGACATGTCAGGTACCACAGACAGGGCAACAGAGTAGTGAGCTTTGGTTATGTCTTTCTTTTGTTTCTCTCTCTCCCTCCCTCCCTACCTACCTCCTGTTCCCCAATCATCTGGTGAAGCTGTCCAAGCCACCCAAGCAAAACTAAGGCTAATGTTTTATTTCCTTTTGTAAGTAGAATACCTCCCATACAGTTGTTCAGAGTCTAAGAATGTTTAAACCTATTCTGCCCATATCACAAAATATTTCTGGGACGTGACACAGAATGGCTTTTTAAAAATCTTCTTTGTACAGAGTTAAGTTTCCAGACAACTGCTTTATAGCTTTATTGTCCCCCTTTAGCCTGGTTATCTGACAGTATTAATTAAGACTTTACAGCTATTGACTAAAACAAGTAGTTTATACAAAGACAATGGCAAAATGGGCGTGGAAAGATTCTTTAATGAGCCTTAACTAGGTAGCTTTGGTAGAAATGTCTGCTTGCTATGACAAAATGCCATAGCTAATAGCTTTTTTTTTTTTTTTTTAAAGTTGATAAGAAAGTTCAGTTTGTATTTAAACTGCTACTGATCTCCCATTATCCTTTGTCTGGATTCTTCCTTAGCAAAAAAGAAATCATTTTGTCAGCAAATATTCTCAGTCAACAAGCTTGATATGTTTATACACTCACATACACACACATATACAGACATTGTGTGCATTGCAATGAATAAGTGGCTTAGGACATAATATATATCATTCAGAATATATGTCACTGCTAGCAGCAGTGAGGAAGGATTTGGCTTCATTTGTGGTTTTCTAAATGAGAGAAGATACCATATAATACTATGACCCAAGAGTTATATATTTTTCTTCTTCTGCATTTTCACCAACAAGTTACTTATTTAATACTGACTCAAAATTCTGTTTTGTTGCAGTAACTGTGATAAAACATTAGTGAGGTGACTCATTGTTAAGTGATAATACTCAATCACCTGTCAGCCACTCATTAACATGATTGAAATGGTATAATGTGGCAATTACTATGAATCGTACATTCCCATCACAGTGTCTTCTCCAGCATCAATAATTGAGGATATTTGTGAAATCACAGAGGAAGGCAGAAAGATGAATTAACAAATTCAGGTGCCCACCACCTCCACTACCAGAGACTAATGAATGACAAGAGCATCTGGAATAAAAATGACGACAGTGATGGTGATAGCTACTATTTATTGAATAATTATTCTTTGCTAGGCACTGTTAAATTGTTTTACATATAGTATCTCATTTACTGCTTCCACCCAGCCTATAAAGTATGTACTATTATTAACAACATTCCACAGAGAATAAAACTGAAACTTAGAGACATGATGTAAATTGCTGAAGACCACACGACTCGTGAGCAGAAGAGCTAGGATTCAAACCTAGCTAATCTGAATCTAAACTCCATGTGCTTAACAGTTTGACTCTCCTCCAGGATTTCTCAACCTCAGCACTGTTGACACACATGCAGGATGATTCTTTGATATTGGGAGTTGCCCTGTAGGACTATAGGATGCTCAGCAGCTTAGCAGTATACCTGGCCTCTGCTCACTAGATTCCAGTGGCACTTTTCTCCTCTGCATCCCTCCTACAGTTGTGGCAGCCAAATGTCTCCAGATATTGCCCACCGCCCTCCCTCGGGCAAAATTGCTTACTGCTGCAGTGGAAAACTACTCCAACCTTTCTTTATACTGATTATATAACCTCGTGTCATTAAATAACCTTTAGAAATATAATTTTAATGACTATAGCATATTTTATTGAATACTAAATTAGTGCTACACCTAAAATATTACTTTCGATTATTTTATAAGGAAAAATTTATGTTTGGTAACTTAAAACAATCAAGTTTTTGGAAATCTACCCTTTTGTTGTATATAAGATATAGAGGTAAGCCTCTATAGTCAATAAAATAATAAGCTGGAGGTGATTTACATTGCAAAGATCATTAACTTCATTGTTTAAAATATGTCACCATTTTTCACCTGGAATACTTCAGAAGATAAAAGGAGATTTTCAGTAACAAATTTCTTTAATAGTGAAAGAGTTTATTTGGTTACTGTACACAGACATAGCCTAAGTTAACAATCAAAATATAACTGCATACGTATATTTCTGAAATGAAAATAAATTAATTATTCAAATGTTTAAAAATCAGAATTTTATTATTTTCCTGAAATGTCTAATAAATCAAAATTTACTAAAAAAAAATTCTTCAAGCTTGAGGGCCGAAGGGACAAAAAGTATCAAAGAGGCGGAAGAGAACACATAGCATGTTAGAGTCAGCAAGAACTGTAAATCATCCGGTCCTACCTTCTCATTTTATAGGTAAGGAAAATGGGGAAGAGACATTGTTCAAGCTTATAACAAAGTAGTTATTAATAGTATCCAGATCTCCAGAGTCTGAGTTCTTTATGGTGAGCATATGTTTCTCTTATCTGGTTTTGTCCAGGGGTTTTCAAGTCATTTTCCATGTCTCTCGGTAGGCCCCAAGAATGGCAGCAGTGATGGCTTGTAAAGCTGGGAGTGATTTGAAGGGAGGAAGAACAGATAGATCTTAGTTTGATCCTTGGCTATGCAGCTCAATAACATGAGTTTGGAAGGTTATTTAAACTCTTCTGTATTTATAAAATGGACATTTTAATATGGAGTTAAGGATTTAAATTGATAATGGACATTGGATACCTAGCACATAACAGATTTTCCTGTGGACTTGTGTACATATGTCTATCTTAGATCTACCACGTCATTTTGAGGTTTGCTCTGAATTTGTCTACCCTTTACCAGACTGAGCACCATGAAGGCAGAGAAAATGTCTCAGGCATAATATGGAGAAGTAGAAGGATGGGCCCCTGACTGAACAGACTGGGAAATGGCAAGAGAACTTTTGAAGCATGGAGGGGTAGTGGCACTCAGTGTTTGTTGAGGAGTGATAGGAGATGTGGCTGTTGATAGAGGGGTAAGATGAGGAAGATGTAGGAAAGTGGGGAGTTCGAGAACATTTGAAGCAAGCTTTAGCAAAAAGAAGGTCACTAAATGTGTTCTTTGAGGATATCATTTTAGTAGAGTAGGTAAGACAAGGTTAAAAGCAGAGATTATTAAAAGATAAGAATTGGGGGAAGTGGGTGACTTGGCTCACCATATGCCTTCAGTATATCATCATGTGGGGATGCTGTGCAGCTCTGCCCAGCATTAAGCCTGGTTTTCCTAAACCGTGTTTAAGTAGTCCTGGCATTACTATAAGAGGAGTTCTTAAAGTGGCTGTGAACGAGATCCTTTATATATAGATCTCCAGCTTTGCATTAATCTAGGCTTATGGCTCAACAGGTTATGAGTCTCTAACTCCAAGTTGCTTCTCTCTTGTTGTGGGAAAAAGCAGATGAATTTTTATTTGAACTGTTTCTCAGTGAATTTATATAATCTTTTAGTAAAAATGGTTTGTCATATTCTGCTCATAATTTACTTTCTTTTGTCCTTAACCTTTGTTTTTTTGGTAATTATCCTCTGGTTTCCCCCAACAAACTGCAGTGTATATCTAATTGCTTTTTTCTCCCTGTGTTTTCAGCTCTTTGCCTTCCCACCTAAACATCAGTTATGAGGACTTTTTCTCTGCCCTTCGTCGGTATGCAGCCTGTGAGCAACGTGTGGGAAAGTAGTGATCCTTGGTCGTGTAATTCAATTTAGGCTTTTCGAGAAAAGGACCCAAGTGACTCTGATGTTTACAAAGCACCTATGAAGCCCTGTATACACCTAGTTCATAATCCTCATAATTTATCGACAAACACAAAAAAGTGTCTTACTTGAGAGTGAGTGTGTGTGTGCTTGTGTGTGTGCATGTGTGTGTGTATGGAAATAAACATATTAATGGGGAAGTATTGGAGAAGGAAATATAAAGACCTACAACCTTGAGCAAATAGCATTATTTTAGGAGCTGACATTTCAGATTTAAAGTCTTCAGTCCCAACTACTCTGTTCTGGTTGTTGGAGGAGGGGAATGATTTTTGTTCAGTCCTTCCTAGTAACCAAATTTTAATTTTTAAGAACAATATATTGACTTATTAAATGGAAGCATTCTGAGTTTGAGGGAGCTCCAGAGGAATGGAGTTCTGTGTTGGTCATATGTTAAGAGCTTGATCACTTTCGGAGCAGAGGGAATACCTGTCTTCAGATATCCGTCCATTTTCATCTCTTCATTATAGTCAAATAATTGACTTGAGAGTATTGCTCTGGTGTCAGTGTTCTGGGTTGTGAAGATCATTTGAAAAAGAATTCTTACTACATTGAAATGCAGAATTTTAGAAATTTAAATATTGGATAGTCAAAAAAAAAATGAATAAGTTGTAAGGTTAAAAGTAAAGCTGGAAAATTTCTTATGAAAGGAAAGAATGTTTTGATTTCCTTTTTTGTTTGGTGGGCAGTATGCTATATCATACCCAAAGTTGGTTTAAAAAATATTTCCATTAGCTATTTTTATTTAAAATAAATATTTGAGGGAAGTTACCAAGGCAGCTCTTTTCCTCAAAAGTTACCTGTTCCTCTTTGGAATAGCACTTTTAGGGCCATGTTAATACCTGGGATTTTTACTCAGTAAATCCTGATGGTTACTTTGCATAAAAGATCTTTAAGTAGGATTGAGGCCTGTGTAGGGAATAAAATACTACCAAAGTATATAAAAATAATTTAAATTAATTCTATACGTTCTCTTTTATGACAGAGAACAGCACAGCACTGGTTCTGTTATTTTTAAAATGAATAAATGATTTCTTGATATGTGTTTCATATTTCTTCCCTCACTGCTGATTCTTGGGTAGAAAACCATTCTTTATATTTTGATAGACTGTTTTCAGAAAACTCTCTTATGAGCATGTGTACAATAGTTATCTAAAATTGTACATTTAGATGGAGTAGTTCAAATATTAGATTTCAGAAGTATGAAAAAGCAAAGAAGACTGGATTTGGAATTGCTTGTCAAATTCTGAACCTATGAAGAGTAAATGTTTCAACTTTGGATTACAAAACCCCATTTATGATTTTAAAATACAATTGAAATAAAAATGATTAAATTTAAATTCTAGTCATGTTACTTTGTATTTCATAGTCCTTTGTATGTTTTAAGACTTGAGTTTTTTTATCTTAATTTATTGCTGAAAGTTTGTGTGAAGCTTATCTAAACTTTATCAGAGAATTTCTGATTTCTGTTCTCCTTTCCTGTGATTTATGTTATATGGAGGCTTTTATGGCATAGGTTAAAACTGAATTTATGCCTTTTATAAACATGATAGGTATAAATGTCTTTATAAACATTCTGGAGTATGTATAGTTTAAATGAATTTAATTTAATGGGCCCAGTTGAAGTGAAGGGATTTAATATTTGTTAAAATGAAGGTAGTCAAATTAAATACCCATTAGTATATAGCCCAAGTCACTGGAGGTTTAATATTTGAATTTTGTACTTTTATTTTCTCCTTCCATTTCATAAGTGTGTACATTAAAGTATATCTGTAGCCTGTGACCTGAATCTATTGTAAAGTCCTAAGAAGAGACTCTTACAACAAGTTGCTAAGGGTTCTGAATTCAGATATAGACATTCCAGAACTTTCTGTATGTGAGCTCAACTGCTAGTACAGTCTTCACAACTTGAATGGCATTGGTTGTTCTATAATTCCTGCCAAAATTATCACAATTTATGCATTACAAGGGCTCCCTTTGATCTCCCAAGAAGAACTGATAATTTTAAAGAAAAAAGTATGTGTCTTTATACATACACCGAAGGATATTGTCTTTAAATTGTTTCTTCCTGACACTTCTCAAAATGGAAAAATTACCAAATTAAACCTACTTTCTGGCTGGCAGTTTGGAACAGAGAAAGAAATTGGAGGATTTGAATTCCATTCCTGGTTCTCTTTTTTTTATTTTTTTAAACCAATTGATTACTGTTATAAAGTTTAAAAGTTGGTTTTAATGTGAATAGCAGATTCTGGTATATTGTGATTAAGGCTTAAGAATGTCTGTTTTTAAGAGGACGGTGTTACAATATTAATGAACAGTGCCAAATACACTGTGCATATCTACAATTTAATCTTTGAATGTATGTTACTTGATTAGCTAGCTCTCTCCTCCTTCAGTGTGGTGGTACCATGCATAGAGTCAATCAGATCCTTGTGATGTTTTGTATGGACTTTGGCAACATGTAAATAATGTGTAAAGCAAGTTTTTATGATTAAGGAATCAAATTTGTTGAATTTTATTATTGAAAGTTGAACTTTAACATGTATGAACAAAAACCAATAAAAGAATATACTCTTTTCATGGACTATGGTATGTGAATGCTACATTTATTGTGAACATGTAGGGGCTGCAAAAATGTAATGAGCAACTCATATGACTAGATAGTAATACTATTTTTTTAGATGGTATGCTCTCGATTGAAATACATTCTCATTTTTACCAGGTTAAACATATTTGAAATCTTATAATGTTACTTTTTGTTGGATAATAGTGAGATAAAATTTAGCTTTGCCATTGCTGGACTTGTCAAAATTCCACAGTAATTAAAATATGAATTGATTTTCACTGAAGATGGAATTGCCAAATAAAAGTGTATATATTTATCCTTTTAAAAAGGAATTTGATAGGAAATTAAAAGGTAAGAGCTATAGTTTATCTTATGCTGCATAAAGTATTCACCTCCTAACTTGAAGATCTAATTATAAGACAGTGGGATTTTTGTGCATAGTTTTCATCTGTTAAAATCAAGTTTACCAAAGGTCACATTTTAACACTGGTTAATGGAAAATGCCTTTAACAAAAATTTCTGTGGCAAATTTCAGGATAGTTTGAAATAAAATCCAAGTAACAAGGTTAGTTTCAGCAGTTGTCCAAGATCCTGGCTGATAGGACATAAACTGTGATAAAATTGGTGGGAAAAATGTAGTGAAAAAGAATTTGTTTAAGGTTTAAAAAACTATACGTTCATTATAGAAAAAATTAGATATTCAGAGAAGCAAAAATAAAGCAAAGTAACCTCATTGATTACATTTTTGGTGATAATCCTTCCAGAATTTTTTTGTACATATATTTTAAAAATGTATCCTGTAACAGGTTTAATAAATTCTTTTTAAACGATAAACTAGAAATTGAGAGTCTTGCGTTCTGTATTTGTTTTTGTTTTGTATTCGTTTTGTACTTGTTATTGTGTCTAGATATAAACAATTACATTAGCATGTGAAAATAAAATGTTTAGAAAAAATTAATCCACATTCAGTTATCCTTAATGAATATTAAACTTTGGTCCAAATTCTTCAAGTCATTTTAATTTATTTCTTTTGTCCATCTTATAGTGATTCAGAGACTATAATTTTAGCAATCATATCCAGATGATTGCAAAAAACAAAAGTTGACTTTCAGATCAAACGATTTGAAATATCTGCTGTTGACTATGTTTATATTCCCCTTCATAAGTACTAGTAATTTCAATTTCTCTTAAGAAAAATTCAGAATTTGAATAAGTGCTAATAGAATAGTTCTATATACTAGTATCTAATATTTCCACTCTGATGAAGATTTATTTCTATTGCTATATCTTATTGATTCAGAATTTGAGTAAGTGCTAATAGCATAGTTCTATATACTAGTATCTAATATTTCCACTCTGATGAAGATTTGGTTCTATGAACACTTCCTTTATCTTAATGGGTATTTTGCAATATTAATTATCAGTAACAGCTGTACATAACACCTTACTTGAATTTCTTATTTTTACATGTAATGGAGAAGTAGTTAGGTATGGTGATGATAACCAACTGTTTTCTCCAGAGAGGAACCTATGTTTTAATTAGATTTCCGACAATTAGAAAATAGGACATCAAGAAATGTAGAAGATACTTACATAGGGATGTTTGACATACCATTTGTCTAGTAGTGGTTCTCAATTGGAACTGTCCCATCCCCAAACTCCCCACCCCCCAGTGGACATTTGACAATGTCTGGAAGCATTTTTGTCAACTCAGGGCAAGGAGAGATACCATTGGCATCTGGGGAGAGGCTAAGGATGCTCCTGAACATGCTGCGATGCACTGGACAGCCCTTGCAAGAAAGAATTGCCCAGCCTCACATGTCAGTAATGCTGAGGCTCAGAATCTTTGGTCTGGTGTCATTTCCATAGTTTTGTCACTTTTCATTTTGGGAGGGATGGGGCTGGGTGTTGCCTAAATATACTATAAAGTAATTTTAAAAGACAAGTTTGTTTAGATTTCAATCTATAGATCCTATTTTAAAGATGAAAAAAATTCATTATATGTGCATGTTTTAATTATATAAAATGATATATTAACTTTTTTCCACTCTTGGATTTTATTCATTACATTTATCTGACATTTTGCACCTACCAGTTTTCCAAAGTCTGTCAGTTTGTTGTCTTAAATTTATTTGAAAGAAAATAATGGTTTATTTGGACAGATGGTAATGTTTTACCTTGTATAATATAATGTTATAAGCAATCCCATGCTTCACATTACCCATTATAGAAACATTAAATTAGCAGCTCTTTTCATTCACCCTGTAGTTTAATCACTTGCATTGTTCTCAAAAATGATCTTTAAAATGCTTGTTTGTAACATACCCTATGCTTGTTTTTGAGGTCACGTCTACAAGACTAATGACAAAGTCATTGTTTAATTTCTTTGCCTCTTGTTTTTAAATAATTCTTGTGGCTTTTTTCAGCCTTCCGAAAGTCATTGATTGAGGTGGTTGTAACCTAATGTGATTTCCCCAAATATTAATTGCAGTTCAAATGAGTAAATAGAGTGTGCTTTAAAAAGAGATTTTGCTTGGCCTAGAGAAAGATGACTTTTATAAGGGTTAATTACAGGGAAATAAATGTACATTTGTTCAGGTACATATGGAATATAAATGTGTATGAGAAACTAGTCCTGATAACTTTGCCATTGATTTTAGAGTATGCAGTTCAATACCATACATAAAGAATTCAGAAGATAAACAGGAATGCCTAGAAAATCTTCAGGCAAATGATTTCATTAAATATTTATGTTAGGTCATTAAATATGAAATATCTGATTTAAAATCAAAAGTGTACTTTATTATATCTCAAACAAGAACCAGTACAATTAATCAAAGTATGAGCCTAAACTATCAACACAGTTTTGCCATTTTAACAGTAGCTTGTTTATGCCAGTAGCAAAGAAGCCTGGAGTGTGAGTGGGGATAAAGTCATGAAAGGCGTTTTCCACAGCTTGTTGAGAATTGAATATTTTTCCTTGCAAGAAGTGGGCCAAAGCCTGGAAGAAGTGGTAGTTGGTGCAAAGTCTGGTGAATACGGTGGATGACAAGAGAGTTTCCAAGTCCATCTTCTGTAGTTTGAGCAGCATTGATTTTGTATCATGTGGTCTTGTAAGAGGGTTGGCCTGTCTCTATCAACCAATCTCAGCTGCTTGATCTCAAGCATCCTCATAATTTCCTCCAATTGGTTGCAGTAGACATCCGCTATAATCATTCGACCAGGTTTCATGAAGCTGTAGTGGATAATGCCAGCGTTGGACCACAAAACAGACACCATTAGCTTTTTTTGATGAATATTTGGTTTTGGATTGTGTTTTGGCACTTCATCCTTATCCAACCACAGTGCTGAACGCTTGTGATTATAAAAAGAATCCATTTTTCATCACATCTAATAATACGGTGTAGAAATGGTTCAACTTTATGTCGTGATAGAAGAGAAAGGCAAGCCTTGAAATGATTTCTCTTCTGATGCTCGTTTAATTCATGTGGAACACACCCATCTAGCTTCTTTACCTTGCCGATTTATTTCAAATGGTCCAATCTTGTTGGACTAGTAATGTCAAACTTTGCTGCTAATTCATGCATAGGTTGAAATGGATTTGATTCCACCGCAGCTTTCAGTTCATCATTATCCACATTGGTCTTAGGTCACCCACATGGTTCATTTTCTTCAGGACTTTTTAGTTTCAATCTCTCTGTGTTAAATTCTTCCCCTGAGCCACAAATGTGGTCAAGTTTTAATTTATTTTTTTCCCCAAAATATGGGGGTACAAATGTTTTTGGTTACATGGATTGCTTTTGTAATGTTTGAGTCAGGGCTATAAGTGTCAAGGAAAATCACTCAGATACTGTACTTTGTACCCATTAGTAGGTTTTTACCCATTAGGTAGGTTTTCACCCATCCCCTCCTCCCCTAACCCCCACTTGATTTCCACTGAGTTTTGCTTCCTTCTGTGCACAGGTGTGCTCATTGGTTCCAATTTAATAGTGAATGCATGTGGTGTATATTTTTCCATTCTTTAGATACTTAGGATAATGGTCTCCATCCAAATTGTTGCAAAAGGCATTAATTTTTTTAAATGGCTGAGTAGTACTGTATGGTATACATATAACACATTTTGTCAATCCACTCATGAATTGATGGACACTTGAGTTGATTCCATATCTTTACAATTGTGAATTGTACTCCAATAAACATTTGAGTGCAGGTGTCTTTTTGATAAAATCACTTCTTTTCCTTTGAGTAGATACCCGGTAGTGGGATTGCTGGATGAAATGGTAGGTCTACTTTTAGTTCTTTAGGGAATTTCTATACTGATTCAATAGAAGTTGTACTAATTTGCAGTCTCACCAACAGTGTATAAGTGTTCCTTTCTCTCTGCATCCATGCCAACATCTATTGTTTTGAGACTTTTCTAATAAAAGCCATTCTATCTGGGATAAGGTGATAATCTCACTGTGGTTTTAATGTGCATTTTCCTTATAATTAGTGATGTTGAGTGTTTTTTTGTTATGTTTATTGGCCATTTGTCTATCTTCTTTCTGAATAGCCAAAGCAATCTTAAGCAAAGACAATGAAGCTTGAAGCATCACATTACCCGACTTCAAACTGTAATACAAAGCTACAGTAACCAAAACAGCATGTATTGGCACAAAAATAGAGACATAGACCCGTGGAACAGAACAGAAAACCCAGATATAAAACCATCCACATACAGCTAGCTCACTGATCTTTTTTTTTTTTTTCTTCACGTCAGATGGGTAATGTGCCGATGTCGTAACAAGGTTTGAGGGAGGCACATCTCACGCATGTGCGTGAAAACCCAATCATCACGCTTATGAACTACAAAAGGATCAGCTCACTGATCTTTGACAAAGTCAGACAACAATATACACTGGGGATAAGAAACCCTATTCAATAAATGGTGCTGGGAAAATTGGAGAGTCACATGCAAAAGAATGAAACAGGATCTATATCTCTCTTCACTCACAAAAATTAATTCCAGATGGATAAAAGACT